ATGGGACTTTTCTTTTTTCCTCCCTTCCTTTTTTCCTCTAATTGTTTTTGCTGCAAGAGACCAAAATCCATCCTTCTTTCTCTCCTTCCTTCCTTCCTTCCCTTCTTCTCCTTCTTCCTTTACCTTTCTCCTTCTCTACTTCCCTTATTTCTCCTTCTTCCCTTTTTATCTGATCTTCCTTTTTCTCTCCTCCACCTTCCTTTTCCATACTTCTCACCTTTCTTTCTTTCCTTCCTTGTTCAGTCATTTCTTCCTATCCGTCTTCCCGTTTCCTTTCTTTTGGCTTGCTTTCTTTCTTTCTTTCTTTCTTTCTTTCTTTCTTTCTTTCTTTCTTTCTTTCTTTCTTTGTCTTCTCCTCTTCTGTCCTTCTCTCCTTACTCTCTCTTCCTTTCCTCTCTCTCCTCCACCTCCTTTTCCCATCCTTCTTTCATTTATCTCCCTCTTTCCTTCCTTCTTTCCACCTTTTGACTTTCTCTCTCTCTTCCATCACCTTTCCCATTCCTCTTTATTTCCTGACTTTCTCTCTCCTTCCTTTTTTCATCCTTCCCTTTCTCTCTCTTTCTGTCCTTCTACCTTCCTTCCTTCCTTCCTTTTTGACCATTCTCTCTCCTCCACATTCTATTTTTCCATACCTTCCTTTTCCTTCTTTCGTTCTGTCGGTCTGTCTTTCTTTCTTTTTTCCTTCCTTTCCTTTCTTTTCCCTCTTTCTTTCTTTCTTTCTTTCCTTCCTTTCTTCCTGGTTTCCTTTGGCTTTCTTTTCCTTCCTTTCTTTCTCCTCCACATTCTTTTCTCCACCTTCTCTCCTTTCTCCCTTTCTTTCCTTCCTTGTTCAGTCTTTCCTTAACCTTCACCTTGTTTCCTTTGGCTTTCTCTTTCTTTCCTTCTTTTTCTCCTCCTGTTCCATCCTTCTCTCCTTTCCTGATTTTCTCCCTCTCTCTTTTCCCATCCTTCTTTCCTTTCTCTCCCTCTTTCTTTCCTTCCTTTCTCCCCAGTTTCCTTTTGATTCTCTTTTTCTCTCCTCTGCCACCTTTTCCCATCCTTCTTTCTTTCCTGACTTTCTCCTCCACATTCCTTCTTTCTTTTATTCATTCATTTCTCTCTTTGTTTCCTTCTTTCCATCCTTTTCTCCTCGTTTTCCTTTGACTTTCTCTCTCCTTCACCTTCCTTTTCCCATCCTTCTTTCCTTTCTCTCTCTCTTTCCTTCCTCATTTGGTCTTTCTTTCCTAACTTTCTCCCAGTTTACTTTCCTTTGACTTCCTTTCTCTTCCGCTTCCCTCTTTCCCTTATTTTCTTCCTTCTTTCTTCTCTGGTTCATTCCTTTCTCCCCATTTCCTTCCTTCCCTCTCCCTCTTTCTTCTTTCCTTCCTTTCTTCCCTTTTCCCTTGACTCTCTTTCTCTCTCCTCTGCCATTCTTTTCCATCCTTCCTCCTTTCCTGACTCTCTCTCTCCTCCACATTCCTTTCCCCATCCTTCTTTCCTTTCCTTTCGCACTCTCTCTTTCTTTCCTTCCTTGTTCAGTCTTTCCTTCCTAGCTTTCTCCTGGTTTCCTTTCCTTCGACTTCCTTTCTCTTCCGTCTCCCTTTTCCTTTTGGTCTTCCTCTTTCTCTCCTTCTTTTCTAATAATAATAAAAATAAATAATAATAATAATAATAATAATAATAATAATAATAATAATTCTTTTCTTCCTTCTTCCTTCTCTCTTTCATTCCTTTCTCCCCACTTCCTTTGGCTTCTTCTCTCCTTCCTTTTTCTCCATCTTTCTCTCTCGATTTTCTTCCTTCCATCCTTGCCCTCCTCTCTGCTCCTTTCTCATTCTGTCTTTTCCTTCCGAACTTCCTCTCTGCTTCTTTTCTCTTTCTTTCCTTCCTTCCTTCCTTCCTTCCTTCCTTCCTTCCTTCCTTCCTTCCTTCCTTCCTTCCTTCTTTCTTTCTCTCCTCCTCCTCTGTCTCCCATCCATCCATCCTTCCTACTTCCCTCCTTCAATCTCTCTCTCTCTTCCCCTCTTTTGATCTTTCCCCCTTTCCTCCCTTGAGGCCCAATTAAGCGGATTTCCCTTCTTTCTTTTCGGAGAGAGAAATCTGACTTTTCCCGCTTCGGACATTAATCCGCGACAAATGAGTCTGCGCCCCATAGAGGCCTCCCAGCAGACCTTCGCCTATTATTATCCATATTATTATTATTATTTTAAGGGGATATTACTGTTATTATTATGACTATTATTATTTCAAAGGGAGGCAAAGCAAAGGGGGATGATATTAATATATTATAAATATATTATATAATGTATACAATATTATTATAATAATGTTTAATGGGAGAAAAATAATTATTTAAGGGGACACAACTATTTATTATCATTATTAATTTAAGGGGAGATTTATTATTATTAATATTATTACTATTATTATTTCAAAGGGAGACAAAGCAATGGGGATGATAGTAATAATTTATATATTATTATAAATATATTATATAATGTATAAAATATTATTATAATAATACTTAATGGGAGAAAAATAATTATTTAAGGGGACATAACTATTTATTATAATTAATTTAAGGGGATATTTATTATTATTATTATTATTATTATTATTATTATTATTTCAAAAGGAGACATAGCAATGGGAGATGATATTAATAATTTATATATTATTATAAATATATTATAATGTATAAAATATTATTATTATAATATTTAATGGGAGAAAAAACAATTATTTAAGGGGACACAACTATTTATTATCATTATTAATTTAAGGGGAGATTTATTATTATTAATATTATTACTATTATTATTTCAAAGGGAGACAAAACAATGGGGATGATAGTAATAATTTATATATTATTATAAATATATAATGTATAAAATATTATTATAATAATATTTAATGGGAGAAAAATAATTATTTAAGGGGACACACCTATTTATTATCATTATTATTATTAATTTAAGGGGAGATTTTTATTATTACTATTATTATTTCAAGGGGAGGTTATTATGTAATGAGAGGCGAAGCAATGATTGGATGGGTGGCTACAATTGTTATTAATGGTATTATGTAATGAGAGGAAAATAACTATGTAAGGAGTGGCTGTTCTCATTAGTAGTACTATTATGTAACTATGTATTATGTAATTATTTAAGTACAAAAGCATTTGTTGTTGTTACAGAGTGTTGTTGTTATTACTATTATTATTTTATTATAGAGCCCCGGGTGGTGCAATGGGTTAAACCCTTGTGCCGGCTGAACTGCTGACCTGAAGGTCGGTGGTTCGAATCCGGGGAGCAGGGTGAGCTCCCATCTGTCAGCTCCAGCTTCTCGTGTTCCACAGGATGGTGACATATCTGGGCTGTTCTCATTAGTAGAAGTATTATGTAACAATGTATTTATTTATGTCATTATTTAAGTACAAAAGTAAGTATTGTTGTTCTCATCTTACATAATAAAAATAATAATAGTATTAACAACAGTCTATAACAACAACAACTCCATTATTATTATTATTATTATTATTATTATTATTATTATTATTCCCTGACTTCAGGACCAAGTTAGAATAACCTCATTGGAACCAATCAAGAGACAGAAGCGGGATATAAATAAAATAGTAATAATCTGCACTTGTGCAGTCCAGAGATGAAACCCAGCAAATATTAATAACAATAATTGTAAACACGCTTCTATGTAGTATATCTTTATTAAAGAACAATTTATAGACTAAAATATACAGTAGTATAGTATTTATATACAATATTATAATATTCTAGTATATTTATAGAATATTTAGTATATTTCCTGAATATATTATATTCTATCTAACTATATTATAATGTAGTATTATAGTATGCTTATAGTATATTTATTATATTTCTATATGTTATAGGTATATACGAATAATATATGTCTAATATAGTACTATAGTATATTTATTATATTTCTACGTAGTATATTATGTTATAGTATTGCTCATTCTTCTTTGGTGGTTTCTCCCCTTTTCCACTTCTTGTGCATGTCACACACACATATACACCCTAACAATGATAGTAATGATATTTTTTTTGGTGTCAGGTGTGACTTGAGAAACTTATTTATTCATCATATCAGGAGCAAACCGATGTATTTAAGAAAACACAGTCATAAGCTTTTTGGAAGCTTTTAAACAGAGGCTGGATGGCCATCTGTCAAGGGTGATTTGAATGCAAAATTCCTGCTTCTTGGCAGGGGGTTGGACTGGATGGCCCATGAGATCTCTTCCAACTCTTTGATTCTATGATTCTATAATAGGTCATAATAGATAATAGGTCATAATAGATAATAATAATTGCATTAATAATACAAATAACATAATAATATGACATAATATAATATTATTATTATTATTATTATTATTATTATTATTATTATTATTATAACCTAAACAATAGGTAAATGGTAATGATGATAATAGTAGGTATAATAAATGGAAATAATTGTAATAATATATTGTCATCTGTATAAATCTATATAATTTCATTACCTGTATAACTTGTATGCTACAGTGTAATAAGGGTCTTTGGACCATAATAAAAATTATCTATCTATCTATCTATCTATCTATCTATCTATCTATCTATCTAAATAAAAATGTAACGTTTGTATGTGGGATTAACATAACTCAAAAACCACCGGACGAATTGACACCAAAATTGGACACAATACACGTACCAGGCCAACAAGTGACCATCACTCATAAAAACACTGAAAAACACAGGGAAGGGACTTAAAAAGCCAAAAAAACAAAAAAGTACATTACAACACATGTGCAAAACCACATATGTAAACACAAATACACATATAAACAAATATATACACACACATAACACATATATACAGACTGGGCCACAGCAACGCGTGGCAGGGGACAGCTAGTAATATAATAATAATGTAATATAATAACAGTACTAATTATAACCCTCTCCCTTTCTCTCTCTCTCTCTCTCTCTCTCTCTGCGCAGTGAAGGAGGAGGCGGAGCGGGAGATCTCCAGCTCGCGAGCCACGCCCCCGGCGCCACCTTGCCCCACCCCCTCCTCTTGCCCTGCCCCCTCCTCTTCGTGCTGCCCGTCCTCATCCTCACCCTCATCCTCGCCCTCCTCATCGTCATCGGGTTCCGGTTCTGGGCCGGGCTGCCGGCTGAAGAAGCCTCGTAAGGCACGCACGGCATTCACAGACCACCAGTTGGCGCAGCTGGAGCGCTCCTTTGAGCGGCAGAAGTACCTCAGCGTGCAGGACCGCATGGAGCTCGCCGCCGCCCTCTCCCTCTCCGACACGCAGGTCAAGACCTGGTACCAGAACAGGAGGTAGATCTCTCTATTATATCTATTTATTAGGCATGTGCAAACAAATCAGAAGAGTCGGAAATCGGAAGAAAATCGGAAGATCTGGTCCCAGAACAGGAGGTCCATTTCCATTCTATCAAGCTATCATTATCATATTTATTACTATCATCCTGTTGATTCTGCGTTAAGCTTGCTACTGCCCTCGTCCTCTCCGACACCCAAGTCAAGAGCTGGTATCAGAACAGGAGATCCGTCTCTTCATTATAGATCCAATTATCATCATTATATTTATTATTATACAAACGTCCAATTATCATAATTATATTTATATCTACATCCAATTATCATTATTATATTTATTATTATACTAGGTTTGATGCAGTTGGTGCATCCTTACTGATAAGAATTTCCAACTACAAGGCCTGCATGAAAGGTGAAAGGTGCAACTCTTCCACGTCAAACTCTCAGAAGAGGACCAAGCAGTATGGTCGTCCCTTCAACAGGAAGCCACCTCGCTTGCACATCACCAGATCCACATGTCCAAACACACAGCAGACACAGCAGCAAAATGATCACCCATGCCATAGCAGTCTGTTGACACGTGTGGCTCCACCTCTCTGGCCTCTCAACAGCATCCCATCAGGTGATCAAAGACCTTCCCTTTGATGCCTTAGGTTTATTTCATTCAGGCATGGACAACAAATTGAAATCCAATCAGGACTTTAAGTTGTTGGCAGCAAAGTGTGGAATCAACCACAAAATTCCCATTGGAACCAACAGTTTTTGCTGCTATGTTAAGCAGAATTACCGTCAGCACTATTGATCCACACCTACCCCACTGACACAGCAACCATGTCAGCCTCAACAAACCAGAATTACCAAACCCGCTTGGCTAACAATCAGCCCAAGCCCTGTGTTTGACATTGTGACAAATGATATTGTGTCTTTATCACTTACCACTATCACCACCACACCAAGTCCATCCCAACAACTGAACTTCACAACACCCGACGATGTAGACAAAAATACGTTACTCGCAAGCCTGGAGAACCATTACTTCAGATGCATGAGTTTTCCAGAAAAAGGCTACACATTAAAATTCAAGGAGCTCCTCACTGACAGGAAACATGAGGATGTTCACAGGCAATAATGGAAGAGGTCTGCTCCCTACTTGCCAATAGTGCCATGCAACCTGTCACATCACAGGAAGACACAACAACCTTTTTCTCCACGTACTTTGCCTTTCCCTAAAAGAGCTGGAGGCCTCTGCTGTACTCTGGACCTTAGGGACCTAAACGCATTTATATTGCCAAAAAATTCAGAATGGTCACGGTGTTGTCAATCCTTCCTCTGCTCCGCAAAGGAGACTGGTTTGTGTCTATCAACCTCCACATTGCGGTACGCCACTCTCACAGTCATTTCCTCTCCTTCAGAGACCTTTACCAGACCTACCAATTCACAGTCCTCCCCTTCGCCTTGGCCACGGCGCCAACAGTATTCACCAAATGCATGTCGGTAGTAGCGGTGCACCTCCAAAAACAGTGTTGTACTCTTTCCCTACCTTGATGATTGGCTGCTTGCTGCATGTTCACCTGGTGCCCTCAAGACCCAAATGAAATACGCCCTCTCTCTGTTGAACTTCTTTGGCCTACAATTTTGGCCTAAGACTCAAAATCAGCTGCTGATACTTCAAAATGGAACAGCTCAAAGAGAAATGAAAACAGAAGTCGGGGCCAAAATAGTTAAAAACGAATTAAAAACCATTTAAAGAAACCACTCGACAATTCAATCAGTGAAGCCCAGGCTGTTGAACATTGACATGTTTGCTTTCCTCCCTCGTTTTTGAAAGAGTCACACTTCTCCCCCATTAATAATGGATCCTAATTACTTGCGTAGGGCATCAATAATTAAGCGCCGTTACAGTAATCACACAATTATGATGGCGATAAATAATTGAACGGAGAAAAGCGGTCGGCAGGCGAATGGGTCTCTGCAGCCGGGGATAATGGGCTTGAAATCCTTCAGAAACTGATTACATTGAAGACAAAATAATATATAATGTATATTTGTATGTGTGTAAATATATATATAGTATTTGTACACAATACTATTCTATTCCATTGTATTCTAGGGGATAAACAGAGTAATAATGGTGATAATAAATATGATCATATAATAGATATAATAATGATAGTGTGAATAATAAATATAATGGTGATAAATATAATAGAAATAATAATAAATATAATAATGATAAATATAATCAATATAGTGGCTCAGCAGGTTAAACTGCTGACCCACTGAACTTGCTGACCAAAAGGTCAGTGGCTCAAATCCATGGAATGGGATGAGCTCTATGTCTATATTATTATTATTATTATTATTTATATATTATGATATTTATTGCAATATGCAATAATGATTATTAATGTATTATTAATGCGTTATTATTATGTTTATTTATACTTTCTGTAAGGAGAGCAAAGTGGCTATGTCTGTATTATTATTATTGTTGTGGTTGTTATTATATATTATATTTATTCATATTCTCCGCAAGGAGACTCTAAGCAGCTCTGTCTATATGCTGATGCTGATGCTGTTGTCTCTCCCTCTTTTGCTCCAGGACGAAGTGGAAGCGCCAGACGGCTGTGGGCCTGGAGCTGCTGGCCGAGGCCGGCAACTACTCTGCGCTGCAGCGCCTCTTCCCACCGCCCTACTTCTTTCCCCCGGGAGGGCTGCCTGGGATCGACCCCTCCGCTGCCGCTGCCCTCTACCTCTACCGGGGGGCCCCTCCCCCACACGGCCCCGTCACCCCCGTCACCCCATCCCCTGTCACCCCTGCTGTGACCCCACCTCTGCCGCGACCCCTGGTGCCTCGCCTCCTGCTTCATGGGCTGGGCGCGGCAGAGGGGGGGCTAGCGGGGGTCATGCCCAGGTCGGCACAGCCCCGGTGAAGCACTGTCATGATCACTCATGCCATGCAACTCTGAGCTCCCCGGTCCTGACCTGAGCACATGGTCGATGGCTGAAAGTGGGGACAGGATGCTGCAAGGACACGTGGACCGGCCGTAAAAGTCAATGGCCCTGAGGTGGGAGAAGGTGGGCTCTGGTATGTGGGAAAGAGCAAGCACCAGGCAACAGAGGTTGTGGGTCATTGTAGTGAAGGCTTTATATAGACGAGCAGTAGTGCGAGACTCTTGGATTCCAAACATTAAAGAGGTCTCGTATCTTCAACCTGTGCATCTTTAGCTCAAAGTCAAAATTGGGAGAGAATTTGGCCCACTTCACCTGCTTTGGGGGCATTCTGCATGGCGTTTGGAGCGCTTTTTGTGGTCTCGCTGTTTTGCAGTTCTTCAATCATTATTAATGTAAAATATTTATCGCAGTATTTTTGCTGTTTTGCGGGGTTTTGCGGTACTCGGTAAAAGAACAATCTCATGCATTGACTGGTTCTCCCACCAAATCAGGCATATTCACTGTCAGCAAGGGGTGGTTTGATAAATTTCAGAAGCGCTATGGACTTGAGAGCAACATCCTTTGAGGTGAAAAGGGAAGAATGAGAGATAATAATAACAATAATAATATAACATCATATAATATATTATTTTATATTTTTATACAGTGGTCCCTCGCTACTTTGTGGTTCATTTTTTGCGGACTCGCTGTTTTGCGTTTTTTCAATATGGACTTAAGAGCTGCCTTTGTGGATAAAGCCAGAGCTGAGGATTACGTGAACAATAATAATAAAATAATAAAATTTATTTATACCCCGCTACCATCTCCCGAGGGACTTGGTGCGGTTACATGAGGCCGAGCCCACAATACATGAATGATAAAGCAATAACAACAATTAATACAGACAATAAAATAAAACTCATAAAAATAAACAATAGCAGTAAACATGACAACGTTTAAAACCTATGGCTGGGCCAAATGTAATAATTAAAATTTAAGAATAATGCTGAGCATGAACAGATGAAATATGAACTAGGATAGAGTTTTCAGAGAAGGATGGGGTGTGCGGAGATTCCTAGATCAATAGTAAAGTGCATTTCGAGGACATATTGCTGGGAGTTTCCTTATTCTGGGAAGGCACACTGGAACAACCACGTTTTCAGACTCCTCCTAAAGACTGCCAATGTCGGGGCCTGCCTGATGTCCTTGGGGAGTGAGTTCCAGAGTTGAGGGGCCACCACCGAGAAAGCCATCTCCCTCGTCCCCACCAATCGCGCTTGCGATAGAGGTGGGAGTGTGAGCAGGGCCTCCCCAGATGATCGAAGGGATCGTGTGGGTTCGTACACAGAGATGCGGTCACGTAGGTAGGCAGGTCCCAAACTATTCAGGGCTTTGTAGGTAAGAACCTGCACCTTGAATTGGGACCGGAAGATGAACGGCAGCCAGTGGAGCTCCTTAAACAGGAGGATGATGTAGTGTATAAGTGTATGGGGAGGGTTTATAAAAACTTAAAATAGTGTACAGTGTTCCCTTGCTACTTTGTGGTTCGCTTTTAGCGGACTCGCTGTTTTGCGGTTTTCAAATATATATATATATGTGTGTGTGTGTGTGTATATATATATATATATATATTCTGTCTCGCTGTATTTTCGCTGTTTTGCAGGTCTTTGCTGAAGTCGCTCTCTGAGGCGCTTTCCCTCCTCAGTCCTCCCTCCCTCCCTCCAGCCTTGAAAGGCCTTTCCTTCCTTTCCTTCACTTTATTTTACATTTATAAAGACTTAAAATAGTGTATAACTACTAAAATAATGTATAAATATTAAAATAAATATAGCGTCCCTACATAGCGGTTTTTCACTTATTGCGGGAGGTCCTGGAACATAACCCCAGCAATAAGTGAGGGAACAATGTATAACTACTAACATAATTGATAAATATTAAAATAAATTTAGCATCCCCACTTTGTGGATTTTCATTTTTCGCGGGTGGTTCTGGAATGTAACACCCGTGATAAGTGAGGGGACACTGTATACCACAAATTTGTGAAGGGCCCCTTGGCAAGGTGTGCAGATTGTGTCCCTCTGAAATGGGGAGTGTCCTGTGCTGGAACGGAGCATATTGTTATAAGAGATTTCTGTATAGGCAGGGGCGGCTCATCCATTACGCGAAGTAAGCGGTCGCATGACACTTTTTTTTTGCCAGGCGTGCAGAGGTGCCTCTGTAAATGCCCCTCGACCGCCACTTGAGGAGCGCCCCCTCAGCTCACAACAGCCCTAGCAGTCCGGGGGGAGCCTCGGCTTTCTTGCCTCGCTGCTGGGCGATCCTCTTCCCAAAGGGGCCGGGCCCTTGAGCCTCGCCTAGCCCCTCTTGTTCCTGCTCCACCCGGCCACCGGGTGCACGAGCAGAGCCGGCACTCAATCGTTCTCCGCATTCGATCCCTTCCCCATGACCGGCTCCCTTTCCTGATCCCCCGGCGCTCCACCCGCCTCCTCTCCTCTCCCCAATCCGCGGGTGGGCCAAGGGGCGGAGCCGCTGCGCCTGGCCCGCTTCGGGTCCGGAGGCGTGTCTGAAGACCCCAGCGTGCGCACCAAAAGTCGCCTCTTCTCCTGATTTTCTCTTCAGCCATTGGGACAAGAGAGAGAGAGAGAGAGAGCCCCTCCGGCTGGAGGTATCTCCCACCTCCGCTCCCTCCTTTGTTTTTGCGCCTACCTTCAGGAAAGGTGGGCATCTCCACCTCTCTCTCTCTCTCTCTCTTGGTCCCAATGGCTGAGGAGAAAGTCAGGAGAAGAGGTGACTTTTGGTGCACACGCCGGGACCCAAAGCGGGCCAGGCAAGGGAGCAAGTGCGGCAAGTGTAGTTACTGGGATGTATAGTTCACCTACAATCAAAGAGCATTCTGAACTCCACCAATGATGGAATTGAACCAAATATGGCACACAGAACTCCCACGACGAACAGAAAATATATATCAATGATTGGTTTGGGGGGGGGGGGCGCCAAAATACTGTTTGCTTACCATTGAAAATTACCTAGGGCCGCCTCTGCCTAACAATTGTTTTGTCCAATTATCCTGTTGGTAGTTTGTGTAGCACCTCAAATATTGCTCTAGTACCTGGTTGATCCTCTCTGTTTTCCCCGAGGTTGTTAGGAATTGTGGGAGTTGAAGTCCAAAACTTGATTCTAAACAGATTGTAAGGATTCTTTGCGCCAACTGTGTTGTTGTGGGTTCAGTCTTCTCTTGACGGAGCACGCCAAGACGCACGAGGCCTGAAGGTAACAGACCTCTTAACAGTGTTCCCTTGCTACTTCACGGCTCACTTTTAGCAGACTCACTGTTTCGCAATTTTCAAAAAATATTAATTATATATATTTTCGCTGTTTCGCGGGTTTTTTGCCTCCGTCGCTCTCTGAGTGAGGTCCTGAATCGTAACCCTTGCAATAAGTGAAGGAACACCGTATTGTTTGGAAGCCAAGAGACTTGCATTCTTGCCCGTCTCTACAGGCTTTTTCTACAATGTCCTCAATCACCCCAAATCTCTGATACCTGCCCTTTCCCACATATCAGAGCCCACCTTCTCCCACGTCAGGGCCATTGACTTCTATGGCCGGTCCATGTGTCCTCCTTTGAGGCCACTGGCCATGGGCTCTATGTCAATACTGGGTGGCTCATAGTTGCATGGCAAGAATGATCATGACAAGCACACATGGACGATGGGAGAGGTGGTCCTTCCCTCTTCCCCACTGGACCCTCATTATTTGAGAGAGGGTGATGGGCAAGGCTGATGGGGGTTGTAGTCCCATGCTCCAAACCGGATTCGCTTGAGGAACACCCCCCTCTTGCACTTCTGTCTGATGCTGCTGCCGACCTTTCATTTCGGGGAGGGGATGATGGGATATGCAGTCCCTCTATGACACAAATGTGGAGTTGTCAAAAGGGCAGGATGATAGGAGCGGTAGTCCCACAGGTCAGACCGCGTAAGGGACTTGATGCTGCTGCTGACCCCTCATTTTATGGGGATGATGGGAATTGTAGTCCCACCCTCGAAACTGGCTTAGCTCAAGGGACTCCCCTCCCACTGCACTTCTTGCTGATGCTGCTGACCCATTGTTTTGTTTTGTGGAGGGGATGATGGGAGCCGTAGTCCCATGCTGTATCCTTCCTGCTGCTGCTGACTTTAAGAGGACAATGGGACATTTCCTATAAGTCGGCTTGGACAGGACGATGGGGATTGTAGTCCCACACTTACGCTCAAAGGACTTGGCTCCACTTGCTGCTGCTGAAGACCCCCTTGCTTTCGGGGGGTGATGGGACATGCAGTCCCTTTTGTCTTGCCGAGGTGGCACTTCCAACAGTGTTCAGAAGGAGGGCAAACTCAACGGAACTCCCATCATCCCCGTGTCTCTGGACTATTTGGACACTCGGACCCAAATGAAGCACTTTGTGAACCGGACCAGACAGGGCCGGAAACCTGATCCGCTGCTCTTGTTTACTCCTTGCCGACTGCTTCTTCCATCATCCCCTACTTCCCGGGTGAGGCTGATGGGAGTTGCAGTCCCGCAGAGAAAGGAATCCCTGGGGTTGGCTGCTCTCATCTGCTTCTTCTTCTGTCTTCTCCCCCAGAAATGTTTGCCAAACGCAGAAGGAGGAAAGGGAAGGAGACTGCAAACCCCATCATCCTTCCCACCTGGATCTGGGCTCCCATGGGGCTGAGCCTTCTGAACCAATCTTGCCAGGGAAGGAAGGCCTGCTCTTCCCATCCATTCCCAACATCCACAGCCTATTGGTCAGGACGCTGGGAGTTGGAGTCCCATTATTCAGCATGTCCTGTTTTGATGGGACTCCTGGATGGCTGATGATCAAGGAGACAGAGATCACTGCTTTCCATGTGGATGAACTCCGGTTCCCATCATCCTCAGCCAATAGTCAGAATATTGAAGGAGTCCATGGCTTCCCTAAGCCTGTGTTGCATATTGATAGACTCTGGTTCCCATTCTCCTTAACTCCCCGACTGCTGTGGATGATGGGTATGGAGTCAAAACCAGTCCACCAATGTATGAGATGAACATTGGACTCCCAATTCCCTTCGCCCTCAGTCATTCGGTCTGGAATGATGGGAGTTGGAGTATGAATTCCTTAAACCCATTTTATATATATTGATGGACTCCA